ATTTTTTTTTTTTTTTTTTTTTTTTTTTTTTTTTTTTTTTTTTTTTTTTTTTTTTAAACCGGTATGCATGATATTTTTAGACTAGGTTATCATACTGTGAAACTTTCACACCGGGACACTTTGCTATTCATCTGATACTTCTGTTGTTTTACAGTCTTACCTATATATGAATGGAATGATCGATTGTAAAAATCTACTTGACGTTCGCTTGCAGAAAAAGAGCCGAGAGGAGAGTGAGGGCGAGGGCAGTGGCGTGGAGATCCTGGAGAATCGACCCTACACGGACGGGCCCGGCGGCTCGGGACAGTACACCCACAAAGTGTACCACATCGGTCAGCACATCCCCAGCTGGTTCCGCTCCATCCTGCCCAAAGCAGCTCTACGGGTGGAGGAGGAGTCCTGGAACGCCTACCCTTACACTCGTACCCGGTGAGAGTGATGTCTGATTCATGATTGAGGATTACAAACTGTCATCTAGTTTATTCAGAGACTTGTTGACTTGGTAACTGGCCACCATGGCTTTCAAATGTTTGGTGTGTATTGTTTGTTGCTGTATTACTAATGTTGGGTGTAGTGTTGCCAATTTATTGTGCTTCACAATATTATTGTATTAGTGCACGTTCACCAGGTGCTTTTTCATTAAGCAGCACCTGAAACTCCTCCTATTAAATACAAGTGTGTGTGTGTGTGTGTGTGTGTGTGTGTGTGTGTGTATATATATTTCTGCACTTCATTAAAATGTAAATAGCTAGGAAAATACATGAAGCTACAGTTTGGAAATGCTCTTCTGCCCTCCTGCTAGCCAGCTAACTAACGTCTCGTAAACTAGCTTGCATTTGTTAGTTTACATGAGTGGGATTTCAATAGTGGCATCTCTTTTAAAATACGCCATAACGAGCATACGATATTATTGATCCATAACAGTAGTTAAATTAGCTAATGGACACGTAGGTTCTCGAACAGGAAATTTCCAGGTGTCAAGTCATCAACTAATCATTTGCACATCCACATGTTCGAGCATGTTTTTGATGGCAGCTAATCTCCTATGTAGCACCTGAATTAGTTTTTTTATGGAAGTGCTGAGAAAGTCTTCGAAAATGGATAAATGTGAGTTTTGTGCTGTATAATTGTTATTCTGCTTACAATACTCAGTTTGCATATATATATATATATATATATATATATATATATATATATATATATATATATATATATATATATATATATATATATACACAATGTCGGATTCAACAATCACACATTTTTTAATGTGTTTATGTGGAGCGTCAGCCTTACAAGTCCATGTCTAAGTTGTTACTATAGAAAAAATAATGTATTATACAAAGCACCTTAATATAAACCTGCGATATGAATTACAACCATCACTACTGTCAGGGCAGGTGTTATAGAAAATGAATCAACACCTTCTGACAGATCAGAATCGAGAATTCAGCAGGTATAATGCATTACAACATACAGCTGATTATTGACACATGCTTTCATTCAGCAGGAACTGAACACCAGACAGAGGTTTCATGCAAGAACTACTCCAAGACAGAAACAGAAAAAGAATATTATCCTGCATGCATGATTGCTGCTCATGTCCTTGCTAGGAGATTGTTGTGTCAGTTGTGGTTGTAAAATGTAAATGAGCTGTTAACTCTTTTGGTGCGTGTCTTTCAGTTACACATGTCCTTTTGTGGAGAAGTTCTCTATCGACATTGAGACGTATTACAAGCCCGATACAGGGAACCAGAACAACGTCTTCAATTTGTCTTCAGCGGAGAAAAGGCAGCGGGATATCGGTAAGGGATGGTTTCTGATGGTTTTGACTTTCTCGACACGTACAGTGTGTGCGTGTCCGTCGTCCATACAAAGGAGGACTTGTGCGAGTTTTTCAAGTGCACAGTTTAAGCTGCATAGATGGAATAGGCAAGGCGAAGGTCATCTCACCTTGTCATGTAGTGTGCAACATACAAACTGTATTCATGTATTAGACATGCATAATGAATGCACACATGCATGAGTATTTGCACAAGTATACACTGCGAATGTGTGAACAACTTGGATTCAAATCCAAAGTTCGAGTCACGCGCTTGTAGAAAGGGAAACGAGAGTTCATTCTCCTTCTTAACCTTGTTATGTAATGCATTTGTGTGCCATTTCCCGCTCGTTCTCCCGTGTGGATTGATTGCTCTTGTGTCATGCACCGGTTTTTACAATGCTGACCATGCTTTCAGTTAAAATCCCCCGTGCCTCCACACGCAGTCCTTGCTCAATGCCTGGGCTCAGATGCATTCTGGGAAAAGGTGCTGGAGGCTCAGGCTGAGACGTAGGCAGACTGCAGGCGTAGCCTCTGCAGGGGGAAGCGCCCTGTGCTTGTTGCATAACTATGTCCGCTGCCAAACCGTGCAGAGGGGACACCTAGTGGCCGTCTGCCAACTCTGATTGACCAGCAGAAGGCTCTTTATCACTCTGACAAGCGGGAGCAATAAAACAAGAGGAGAGAGATATGGAATAGATGAAAAACGAAGTTTAATACAGAGTAATGGAAGACTTGGAGCAGGTTTGCAGGTAGTTTTGCAGGTAGATCAGGTTTGTTGTATGGAGAATACAGGAAGGGAATGAATATGCCTTTCATGAGGTGTAATATTAAATGAACAGTGAAGCAAAACTGGGCCATATTTCTTTAAATCATTTTAAAATGTATTTTTACTCTTTGTTCTGTTCTTATGCAGTAGTAAGTAAGGAATAAAACACAAAGGGGCATCTTGTTATCGGAAAATACTGTTGTTATTTTCCTACAACAGCACATTGTGAAGTGATGTATTCCATTTATACCACAGCGATTACAATTTTTAATTTATAAATGAATTTGTTTGTGCTTTTTGACCATTTACAGTTACGTTTAATGTTGTATAATGTCCTGACACCCGTCTCATCACAGAAAATTTGACCATATCAACAAATGTTTTTCTATGTAAAATAACACTTTTTAAAAAAAAATGTTTATTTTTAGCCCAAGATTATGTTGATCGTCTGTCATACAAGTCCCTGTGAATGAGCTGTTACTATAGAAACGATAACGTATTAAAACAAGTGCTACAAGTGTTTATATTAATAGATAAACTTGTCATTTGAAATACAGCCAGAATTGCTGTCAGAGATGCTGTTAGAGAAAATTAATCAACACCTTCTGACTAATCAGATGCGAGAATTAAACAAGGCTGTGGTGTGAAATACAAATAATGTTACCTGGTACAAAAGCAAGTAACAATGATCATGTTGCATATTTTTTGCTTGTATTTGATGGAAAAACTTTCTCCAGTGTAATGAC